TTCTTATCGCAGGACTCCGGGCTTTCATCTAGGGCTCATCCGCTTGATATCTTTCTAATTTGTTTTTCTTGGGAACTCCGGCCTGACTGTCTTTATTTTTTTCCCCAGCCAAATGATCACTAAATATTACTTACTCTTCCACATGTAGATGCTGTTTCTGAAAAGAAACGTTTTTCGTCTCCAAGGTCTTCCAAGCAGGAGTAATTCCTGCTCTTGCCTTATTTATAACACAACCCCCCACTGGGGGAAAGGCTGCAGATTATTTTCCTCCCTGCTGGGCTCAGGTGGGTGCTTCCCTCCCAGACAGCCCCAGTGCTCACAGGGCCGCATCCCAGAGTTCAAGGTCAAGTTTGCTGTTCGGTGCAGTCTTTTGCGGACAGTCTGTCGCGGACAGTCCTGCAGATAAACAAGGCCATTAGAGAGGATGTGGCCCTCAGACCGCACCATGCTGTGCCATTCAGTGGTACCAAGGTGAGCCCAGGATGGGGGCTGGAGCTGCTTGGCACATGAAAGAGACCACCACAGATGGCGGGCCTGTGCCCTGGCTCTGGTATCCCAGACACTTGCTGGACGTGCCCCTGTGCCCTGTCCGCATGGGCCGTGCTAGAGTCCTTACTATGCTTGGCTCACTCCCCAGCCTTTGCCAGCTCTTACTGTGACAAGAGGCAGTCTTTCCAGGTGGTACCTGCAACCATAATCTTCGGACCATGCCACTTCCTGCAGGAAGTCCCGGAAGAGTGCAGCCTTCCCGCCTCAGTTCTCTTTCCCCCCCTCCAAGGAGTCACACTGTGCGATCTCCTCACGTTCTCCCCTGGCCAGCCTAACTCGTGTGTCCTGTCCTTGCCATGCATGAGGGCAGCACTGTGACCGTCCCCCTGGATGAAGGAAAGGCATCTGTCCAAAGAAGCCACCGACGCGCTGGCTTGTGAGCATGGCAGGCCATGAGGGATTTCTGTGTGAAGGCTCAGATGATACTGGCTTCCCTGAAAGTTCAAATTTGTGGCCTTCACCCCAGAGTGAATTTTTCACAGCATCCCTTCTCACACTCAGAGTGTCCTCGTGCAGACAGTTAGCTACACCGTCTCCCCTCCCCGCACTGTGCTTGGCTGAGTTGGGAGCTCTGTGTGGGGGACGCTGGAGGGACACAGCTGGTCGGGGTGTGGAAGGAGTGGTGGAAGTGGGACTGGGAAGCTCACAGGCTCGAAAGACGCACACTCCAGGAAGGTCCCCAGGCATCCGGTTCTCAGGGATGATCTCAGGCTAGATCCGTCTGTCCATTGATTCAGGGGACCATGAGCTTGCTAGGTGGAGTCTCCCCAAGATGTTCAGGCCCCAGTCCATTGAGATCCCTCTGCCCCCGTGTGACCAGCACCCTGGGGAGCAGGTATCTTGAAGGAGCAGAGAGGAGGGTGCTTCCCCTAGGAGACACATAGACTTGTGTCAGGAAAGGTCCTGGGAAAGGGCTCCATGTTGATTTCTGAAGGGGGAGGGCAAACTTAGTGGAGAACAAGGGTGGAGGTAGGGAGCCCCAGACCTGGAAGCCACAGTGAGTGTGGCTGTGTCAGCTCTCCACTGCTGGGACAAAATACCTGGGACAAATCAGGCTAAAAGAGAAAAGGGTTGTTTTGGGTCATGATTTTAGAGATTTCAGTCCATGTTCCTCAGCCCCATGAGGAGGGAGAACACCATGGTGGGACCGTGTACAGCAAAGTTGCCCACTCCACAGGGCCAGGAAGCCAAAATAGAGGAGGGTCCTGCTGTCCCCTGCAAGGCCGTGTTCCCAGTGACCTAACTCACTTCTTGCAGGTCTCACTCCTTCAGAGTTCTAGCAGCTCTTAATGGGGCCACTAGTTGGGAGCCAAGCCTTTAACACGGGAGTCTTGGGGGACACTTAAGATCCAAATCATGACAGTGGAAAAAGGTAAGAGCAGGTGGCTGCTGAGTCACCAAATGCATTGGTCGCCTTTCTGTTGTTGGGACGAAGTATCTGGAACCCACAGCTGAAAGCAGGAGAGGTTTATTCTGGCTCATGGCTTCGGAGGGTTCCGTCCATGGCTGGCTGCCTTCGAAGCAGAAACATCATGGCCGAAGGGCCTGGGAGAGGGAAGCTGCTCACTTCATGGAGTGCAGAAGGAGGAGAGCATGGGAAGAGCCCAAGAGGAAGGTGCCAAGCGCCAGGTAGAGACCCTGCGTTCGCACGTCCGTGACCCATTTCCTCCAGCGCAGTGCCCCTCTTCACAGCCCGTTCAGCTGTGAGCTCATCACCGGAATCACCCACAGACGAGGTCCGGAATCAACCACATCACAGGCCAGTCGCCCCTGCCAGACTCTCTCAATCCAGTCACGTTGGAATTCAAGACGAGTGCAAACCAGATACTCTTGCCCAGGGACACTCACAGCGGGGTTCCCAGGCGGACAGTCAGCACGCCGGAAACAGTCAGAAGTGCTCAGGGACCTGTTGACACAGTGCGGGGACCCTGCCTCTGTGCTGCTGTGAGCTCCCCGGCGCCGGGGGGATGGAGACTCCCTTGGTCACCTGCACCGCCTGTTCCACGCAGAGGCCTCTGGGAAGTTCTGCTCCCAGCCATCGCGGCCTAAAATACTACACTGATTTCTCGTAAGAGGGGAACTGGGTCATGGGTGCAGATGCTTTTCCTGTTCTCTCTTCAGTACACTTCCAGCTGCTTTGGGGGATTAGAACAGGAGAAATAAAGCAGTGGCTGCGGAGGACAGATGCCAGCCAACGTGCCGAGTTTGGAGGTTGCAGAGTGGAATGTGGGCTGAAGAGTGGGCCTCAGGGAGAGGGGCTGTAACCCTGCGTCAGTGACTCTGGGAATCTCCTTCTTACCAGTGAGGGCAACCCAGGCCCTGCGGGGGCGAGCAGCAGACGGATAGGGGTGGGAGCGAAGACGCCGGTTCTCGTCATGGGAATGGACGTGAGAATGCCCAGGTTGTCTGTGTCATGCCAGTTCCCTGCGGATGAAGGGCCTGCACCGGCAGCAGCGTCAAATGTACAGCAAGCTGGTAAAGTTAAATCTTGCTCATCAATCACAGATAAACAACTGTGAGAGGCCGCTTCCTTTGGAGGTGGAGCACTCTCTAATGTGAGTTAGGAATAAGGCTGTGCTAACGGGTAGATACAATGCAGGATGTCCAATTAGGGGAATATTATCCCTTCCTTTTGTATCATAACTAGAAGTAGGGGGAATCCCATTTAACAGGGACTCTGCGAAATATCACGTTCAGTGGGTCTTTCATACTCCTTGTTTTCAAGCCCAGACTTTTTTCTACATTCAGGGTTGTTAAAATACATCAGTTTATTGATATACTATTAATATTAATTCTATTAATAACCATATTAATAGAATGTGATAATTTAATTTTTATCACTCTTTTTTGTATTTTTGGAGTACTGGGGATTGAATCCAGGACTTCTCCACTGAGCTACATTCCCCTCCCTTTTTTCATTCTTTATTTTGAAACAGAGTTTCATTAAGTTGCTGAGGCTGGGCTCAAACTTGTGATCTCCTTGCTTCAGCCTCCCAGAATGCTGAGATTACAGGAGTGCCTGGGCTGAGGACAGACCCAGACGTGCCCTTCTGAGCCTGCAGAGGAGGCTGCGGCAGTGGGTGGTGTCGTGGTGTCCTTACTTGGCAGGGGGCACTGTCTGTCGCTCTGCCCAGGACACTGTGCCAGCCATCACAGAGGACCCAGCACATGCCAGGCCCCGGGGCTCCAGTGGCTTCTGTGGTGGCAGAGCATGGGCAGTGTGCTTCCTTCCCCAAAGACAAGGGTAGTACCCACGTAGCTGAATAAGGAATTTAACGGATGTGCAAAAACAAAAAGCGTCCATGGTTACGGATGCTGTGTGACACTTGGATACGTGGACATGCTGCCCGAAGTTCACACTAGGTCGCTCGCCCCTGCCTCCTTGAAGACCTGAATTTCTTTATAGTGGAAACATCCCTAACCCCCGCTCCTGACTTTGTGAAGAGTGCAGCACCCATGGCCGTCTATGCTTACCCCCTGAGGGCAAGCGCACCTCAGGCAGAGTCCTAACTATGCGTGGCTCAGTCCCCAACCATCAATCCGCCCCTCCCCAGGGGAGCCACTCTGCTGTGCTCTGCTCCCAAAAGGCCAGTCTCACCAATCCCACCTGTGAGTGAGACCATCTGTTATCCGTCTTTCTGTGTCTGGACATGATGATCTTCAGTTCCACCCGTGTTGTCCCAAAGACAAGATTTCCCTTTTTATACCTGAGTAGTATTCCTTATCTCATATTCCAGTAGTGTTCTGTTGGGTATCCACGCCTTGATTTCTTTGCCTACTCCCCAGCTGATGGACACTCAGGTTGATTCCATTTCCTGGTTTCGGTGACTAGTGGTGTGACAGACACAGGAATGGGGGCATCGCTTTGATACAACTCTTCTTGGTGGCACCTGGTAGAGGGACTGCTGGCTCCTGTTTAAGTATTTCTATTTTTAATATTTTAAACTCCATGCTGATTTCCACAGGGACGGTACTAGTTCGCCTTCCCACCGACCAGATGCAGGGGTGCCCTCAGCTGCACACGGCCCCTTGTCCTTGAGAACAGCTGCCCCTGAGGGAGGTAGTCACTTGCTTTTCCTGAGGGCTTGTGATGCTCAGCATTTCCCCAGGCTGCCGCCCATCTCTGCGTCTTCTTTAGAGAAATGTCTGCTTGGTGCGCTGCTCGCCTAAGCTGGGCGATCTGTCGTCGCTTAGGTATTCGGGTGTGGGCCCTGTCCGTGAGCAGACAGCGCTCCGTCCCTCTTGGTGTTGCTCCCTGTGTGCTGATTGCTTCCCTTGGGTGCAGCACCCTTCCCTTGCTGTGACCTCTTTGCTGTTTTTGGTTTTGCTTCCTGTGCTTTTGGGGTTTTGTCCAAGAAGTCTTTGCCCATTCCGGTGTCCTGACGTGTCTCCTCTCTCTCTTCTGGTAGTTTCACAGTCTCCAGCTTTACCTGGTGTTAACCCACGTTCAGCTGATCGTTGGCGAGAGATAAGAGATAAAGTAGTTGCGCTTTTCTACATGTGGGATTCCAGCTTCCCCAGCGCCAGCGATTGAGAAGACTTGAGAAGACCGTTCCAATGCGCACCCTCCGCACCTTTGCTGGGAGGCTGTCGGGGAGGTGTGTGGGTCACGTCTGGGGCCCTCATTCTGTTCTGTGGAGCTCTTGTCTGCTTGGCTCCAGTGCAGTGCTCTGGTTCTCTGCAGGTCTCTTAAGTCTTCCCCCTTCTACGTTGGCAGCCCACTGTCTTATTTACTGTGGTTGACTGTACTCAGGGTGTGGGCAGAGGATGACGGGGTGGTTGTGGTGAGGCCAGCTGAGACGGAGGGGCGGGGTGTGGTGGCAGCAGGAATCAGACAGGACCTAGCGATCTATGGACTAGGCTTCTGCAGACCCACAGTTTTCTTGGATGCCTTGTTTACATACTCATTAATAAAATAAAAGTTAAAAGGATGAAGAAAGGGATGGAAACACGCACACCTCAAGGGCAGCTCTTATTTTATTTACTTGCTTGACTTGCTTCACAGCTTCCTGGCGCCCTGGAAAAAAGAATAAAGAAGGAGAAAAAGGAAAACACAGCAAGTTCGCAAGCTTTTCTTTTCCTGCCCAGAAAGAAGGTGGACACTGAAGCAGATCTATGCGGACTCCACAGAGCGCCGGCACTGCCCAGGCCTGCGCCGTAAGCCACTAAAAACCTGCCCTCAGGTGCGTGAAGCACCTGCTCTGGACCTGAACACTGGAAGTGGGCATCGTGACCTCGGGTGGGGACTTGGGTGCCAGGGGCCCCATGGCATGCAGCCTCCTGTGCTGAGGTTGTGGAGGTTGGGGCTGGGGCTCCTGGGCTGCTCGTGTTTAGATTTGTGGACCTGGAGACTTTGTGGACCAAGGTCCAGTCTCCTTGGGCTCCATCTTGCAGACCCGGGCAGCCCTGACCTTTGTGGGGTTTGCAGCTGGGCAGAGGGGCTCTCTGGACACCGGTTCTCAGCTGAGGCTATGGAAAAGTGGCAGCAGGAAGGGTCTGCCAGTATCCATGTCCCCCAGTGAAGCCCTGGACAGCAGAGATGCTGGAGTCAGCAGACGAATATTCCAGACAAGCAAGATAAACAAGCCAGAGATGGGACATTGTGACCAGTGAGTGGAGGATGGGCCCTATGTGCTAGCCAGCTCCGGGCAGCAGGTTTTGAAGGACCCTCAGGAGGCAGCTCCTGGCCACTGGGTGGGGGCCTGGGGCCATCACCTGGGGTTCAGGGGGGTTCTGTGATGCTTTTAGGGTGCATGGGGAAGCTTAGCTTGGGTCAGTTCGGAAGAGGGCAGAAATCGATTGTCTGGAGCAGAACAAGAGATGCGGCTGGAATCTCCGAGGGCCAAGGGCCTAGACAGGAAGCTGGACCACGGATACAGAGAGTGGAGGAGGAGCTCTCGCTGGATGCTGTTGGGAACCGGGGCCAGATGCAGAGCATCCTCTAGGAAGACTCATTTCCTTGGGTGTCTGTTTCCAGTAGATTTTTTTCCCCAGCATATGAGTTTGAATCCAGGGTCTTCACATGGAACTATACCCCCAGCCCTTTAAAAAAAAATTTTTTTTTTAAAGTTTTGAGACAGCTTCTTGCTACATTGCTAAATTGTGTAGGCTGGGATTAAACTCAAGATCCTCCTCCCTCAGCCTCCTACAGCACTGGGAATACAGGCATGTACCACCAAGCCTGAGTACCACTGCAGACTTTTGAAGGCCTGATTCTCTCTGATTTACTGTGGCGTGGCACTGTTCCACATCTCTGTTTCTGAAGCTGGTATTTACAGTCTCTCTGTGTGTTTAATTTTACATTTCTTTCGTGCCCTCAAGTACAAAGCACTCCGATAATTTTTTACATTAAGCTGCTTTGCATGGTGGCTGCGGAAGCTGTCTCCGACAGTGGGCACTGCCATTTGCATACTGATTTCCTTCAAGCTCATTCGCTCGCTCCGGAGCGGGGGCAAGAGGGAGAATGGCCAGGCAGGAAACGGATTTGGAAGGTGTGCCTGGGAGGTCTCCTCTGTTCATGGAGCAGGCTGAGCATCACCGTGGCTGATGATGTTTATGACCGTGCTCCGGGAGTCACAGGACCACGTTTGGATCATCAAAATCTGCAGGTCAGGGTCACCCCGTGGGTGCAATCACTCTTGCTGTCCACTTGAGTAAAGCATGTAGTCTGGATGTGGGCAGAGCCTTTCCACGTTCTGACGGTCGGGGTTGCACCCTGCGCTCTCAGGTGTCTTTCTCCTTTGGGGACGGTGACAGGTGAGGCTCCCTTGCTCTGGGAGAAAAGCTCTTTGTTTCACATTTTATCTGTAGAAGCCATGATTTGGATATTGCTCAAAAATACTTCTAGGGATGTGCAGAGTTTTTTTAAAGATTAAGTTTATTGGTATATTTTAGATATACATAATGATCACATTCATCATAGGGAATTTGTACCTGTACATGACACATCCTAGTTCCTCTTTTTGTACACAGTTTTGGAAGGAAATTTAGAAATGCTTGTTCTCTTCAGATATTTTCATGATAATATTGTGCTGCTATACTTTTGTAAGGTTGTTCGTGTTGGGGTGGAAAAGTGCTGAAATTCACTTGGCTATTTTATTGGATGTGTGTTTTTCAAAGCCTAGATTTTAATCACGTGTGTTAGATAAGATTTATTATTCTGATTTATTTTACTTAGCATTATAATTTCCACGTGCATCCATTTGCCTACAAATGCTTTAAAATGATCCTTCTTGTTAGCCAAGTAGTATTCCATTATGTACAGGTTCCACGTTTTCTTTATTCGTTCATCTGTGGATAGGCTTACCGCTGCCCCCAGGATCCAGCCACTGTGAGCTGTGCTGCTGTAAACACGGGTGCACGTGGGTCACTGCAGTGGGATGTCAGTGGCTCTTTTGGGAAAAGCTTAAATACCATATTGTTTCTCTCATTCGAGTAATACAAAGTATAGATAAACAGCAGAATAAAGGGGTGGTGTAAGGACTCAGGGAGATGGACCTTCTGCAAACGAGAAGAGGTCTGAGGGACAGAGGGCGAGGAGAGGGGTGGACGGGAGGGAAGAAAACAGTTTTAAGATGCGTCAGGTAACTGGACAGAACCTCCACGATGGATGTGACCATTATATGTTGCAAACATGAACTAAATAAATAATAACAACAGTGATGAAAGTGGGACGGGGGTCTAGAGAAGGCAAGAGGGAGAGGGGAGGGAAGAGGGAGAGAGGACTGTGGTATGCTCAGCACCCGCACCCGCTCCCCGAGACGAATGCAGTAAAACAAAGAGATTTATTATTCTGCCTTCTGTGCACCTCTTCTTAGTCTCAAATGTTATGTGCATGCTTGGTCTTCACATATGACATGGAAGACATGTAGTACATACATGCACAAAACTGGCCAAGTGAGGTCCAGATCCTACAGTGATTTCCGCTCTAAGCATCTGTTGGGGATCAGTGCCAAAGCGAAGGCTGGCTTTGCGGGCTCCCAGGTTCTGAGGCCTGTGGCTCTGGAAGTGGCCGCTCCTTTCTTAAGCATGGGCAGAGCGGCCCCACTCCCCCAGCCCTCCGAGGGCGGAGCCTGGAGTCTCAGTCCAGGATCCTGCCTTGCGGGCTGAGTGTTCCCAGGAGTGGCAGGTGCTCACAGTGTGCTCCTCACACTGAGGGAAGTGGAGGAATCACCTGGGTACTTAAGCTGCACCACTGCCTGTGGCGGGAGAGGGGGCGCCCTCAGGCTGCGCCTTAGGAAGCAGAGCCAGATGTGATCCAGAGGACCTGGTCATGCTGCAGCACAGGCCCCCTGGGGCGCTGAGGGGCTCTGCCTGCCGTCTGTCTCCCCGGTGTCAGCGTCCTTATGAGGTTGGCCTCGTGGCCCAGCACTGTTTTCAGGCACACGGCTGCTCGCTTCTTTCCCTTCCTGCCCTCCCTGGCATCTCGCAGGCCTGCAGCAGCGAGGGGCATCCGGGGGCATGGGTGTGTGAGCAGGGTTTCTTTTTCCATCCACGTAGCTGCCACAGTGGCAAACCTGTTGACATACTTTCTTATGTTCAATTCACCTACTCATTAAAAGGTGCCATGAATAAAATGCATCCTGCTACTCCAACAGAGATTCTGAGAGCACTATGTTGGCTTCTAGAAAGTAGTGAGATCTTATTTTTCTCCTTGCTGAGACAAAATACCCAACACCCCCAAGTTAAAGGAGGAGGGGTTTATTTTAGTTCATAGTTTTTCGAGGATTTAGCCCATAGTCAACTGGCTGCAAGCCTAGGTGGCATAGTAGAGGGGCGTCGAAGAGGAGAAACAGTTCATGGCAGCACAGGCACGGGGCAGCAAGCAGCAGCAGCAGCAGCAGCAGCCACCTTCCTTTCCCTTTTATCCCACCCAGTCTATAAGCCTTTTGGTGGTGTCACCCATACCCAGGCTGGGCCTCCCCTTACCCACATCCAGAACTTGCTAATTCTAATCTATGGGCTAATTTAGTAGCACACACCCTTAATCCCAACGTCACACACCCTGTAGACAGCCAGCTCCAAAAAGCCCCACCTGTGAATAGGTGAGGATTTGGGGGGACACAGGGATACCAGCCACAACACGTGGTAGGACAGGTAGGATGGTGCGGTGAACAGAAGCCCAGGATGTGGGTGGCTGTGAGCGTAAGTGTCACACCAGTGTTTGGGGTGGTGCTGGGGCTGGTGTGGAGGCAACTGCTGCACAGCCAGCTCTTACCCAGGCCATGCGCTGCCCTGCTGCCCTTCTGGCGGAGTGGTCTCCTGGCTGCGCTGGTGAGGGAGTGGGTCAATGCCACAGTGACCCTGCAGCGAGCAGTCACTAAGTCACCCTTTTGCTGTGAATCAAGGTCATTTACTCTCAATACGACTGGACGTTTGGGCTAAAGAACAGCTGCGGTGGTGGGAGGGCACCACATCCCAGTGCCCAGGAGCCTCCCTGTGGGGTAGAAAGGTTTCAGAGCTCTGCTTTTCTCCCTCCTCTGAGACCCAGAAACTCTTGGAGGAAGCAAGTGTGGTATTTGTATGAGTGACAAATGTATCACATCTTTAATTACTGCGTATCACAGGCGGCGAAATGAGACCAGTAATGATTATTATTCAGCTCAAGAGACTGGGGAAGTAGTCACCCAGGCATAATTAGGTGAATGGTTGCTATCTAAATATACAACTTAGTGTAGCTCTCCGGGTTACACGCTCCCAACATCTCATTAATTTTCGCAGTAATGGATGACCCTGTCGTGTGTTTTCAAGAGCTACTTTGTCTGAATGTCCCCCCCAAACCACCGAAGTCTAGTGGAGAATTTTAAGCTGATCTGTTTCCCATTAGATTCTATCTAACATGAACAGTTCTGCTCAGAAAATCCTTAAAGTAAGCGAAATGCTTTGGGAAGCCGGCGCTGCCTGTGAGTAGACTGCCCCGGGAAGGAGCGAGATCACCGTGGGTTTTCTCCCAGAGGGGTGAGCTGGGGGGCGGCCGGGCGGAAGCTGAATGGATAAATTTCAGACTCTTTCCTGGTGGCAGCCTGAGGTGAGGGTCATTGAAGCCACCAGGGAGGGATGGGCCCTGGTCACATGCAAAGGACCTCTGTCACCTGTGCCTCTGTGAATGCACTGTCTAAAGGAATCCTTTTTTTTTTTTCCTTTTTCAAAAGTTAGTACGTGTCTGCACCCTGGGGCGTGGGTACAGCACACAGCACAGCTCGACTCTTTTCTTATCCTTTTCCTCTTCTGATCCCCTCCCCCATCTTCATCCTTGTTGATGTTATTCAGCTTCGCTCTTGCTTATGACATGTGATGCTGGCCGTCATTAAGGTTATCAGGCTCCTGTGCACGTGCGCCTTTGCTCTTCTTACCTCCCCCTCCCTCCCCTTGTCCTCCTGCCCGAGTGGCCTGTGTGCCCATCCACAGGTGGTTGCCTAAAGAAAGCATGCTGTCTGTACAGAATGGAGTACCACCAGCTATAGCAAAGGACATTTGTCGGGAAAAGGATGCACCTGGACAATGTAATGTTGAGCTACCCACGGCTTGGACACTGCGCGGCGTCTCTCCAGCAAGGAGCATAGTAAAGGGCGAGGGAAGGGGGCAAGGCACGAACTCTTGCGAACGGCATCTGAAGAGGATCTGTCCGGCCCATGCAGTGACGCGGACGCGCAGCCTAGAGGTGCAGAGGGCACAGGGAGGTTTTCTCAAAGTGCAGCCTGAGAAGGCACGTACGTGGTCGCTGTGCTGACAGAGGTGTGCTGTGAAGAGGACCCTGTTCCAGACGGCAGAGGACGGATGCGCCCGGGCCTGGCTCATCTCCCTGCAGCGGGGTGGACGCGGCTGTCCGCCTGGAGCCCTTTCTGGTCTAACTGTGTGGCTCTGGGACAGCTCTGAGGGCTGGAGGTGGAGCAGTAGCCCTGGATACTTGTAAGCGTCTTTCTCTTAGACCCTCAACCAGCTCCTTGGGGTTGCGTGAACACGTCAACCTCATGGGAAGTGTTTGCTTACAGTGGCCGGTTTGTCTCTCTGTAGCTCAGCTGGCCTGCAAATT